TGTGTCCCTTGCTCTGTTGTTCAATGACCACATTGTAACCGAAAAGTGACTACTAAGTAGAAGAAAGGTACTGTCTAAATCCCGATACGTACCTAACAGTTATAACAGAAGAGTTGTGTGATGTACATTATTCCACATGCTGCAGTCATCCATGCACTGGATCCGTACTCGAGATGGGGCCTGATTGCGCCCAGATAGACGTTTTTATTGTGTTTTAGTGCATTTAAAAGATTAATTAACCTTCCTCTAGATCTCTCAGAGCGGACTCCTTATCAAAAGGCCACCGAGGCGGTCTATGTGTATGTGTGTGTATGTGTGTGTATGTGTGTTTGTGTGTGTGTGTGTGTTGTGTGTGTGCTCTCGTGTGTTTTTGGTGCTATTGCAAACGTAAAATTAGGTAGCGTAAACACGGCACATAAGCCGACCCGTGGCCTTCTGAGCGCGTGGTTTCGATGAAATGGGGGTAATTCAGATCTCTGTTTCTTTGTTCTTTTGCTATAAAACACCAAATGCTGAACACTTTGAAAAAGTTCAGATTTTCTTCATTAGTGTAAGTTGTTTGTATATCCGGGTATTTGGAGCTGGAGAATCGCCATGGAAAGGGAAGCCCCTAGCGGTCGGAATGTGAGGTCCCCCGCTTCAAAATTGACCCATGGATTCGAATGCTTTGCGAAAAGATTGATGATTAAATACTGTCTTTTGAGAGTGGTTTCCCCGTGGTGATTATTTTTGGCCTTTGGCGTTTCGATAGAAAACCTCTAAAAAAAGCGTCTTGAGTTTTCAAAGATCATTTTTAACATGAAATGTGCAAAATACCTGCTAAAAAAGGTACCAAGAGAAAGAACATTCTTTTTCTATTTTTCTATTAGAATAAAGTCATCGGCTTGGAATTATTTAGTGTGAATTAATCCGCGAAACTACCAGGAGCACCCAGTATACTACAGTATTGAGCCGACATACTACAGTATTGAGCCGACTCGCTCGCCGCGAGGGCTAGTGCGACACCGCAGAGACAACGCTCAATGTTTTTATTGAAATAACGACAGATCATGGTGTTTGAGGCAATAAAATATATATATGGATTTGTAATGATCCCAGTCTTGAAAAAAAACCCCAAATAGAGGCTTAATTTCTTTGTTATATGATTGTACTCTGTTAATATAATGTTTGGTGCACTGGGTACTCTTTTATTATCTGTCAAACATGGGGTTGCAGCCAGTTAGCGACTTCAGCAGTATTTGATTATCATGTTAAATTGAAACAGCTGCCATTTTCTTAAACATTGACTGAGAGGTAAAAGTATGGTACCAAAATTCTCAGGAGACATATATATATTGGCTTTTCACATGAAACAGATGAATTTGACATACAGCTACTTTGAAAATTTAGTATCTGGTGCCAGTCTAGAATACAATGTTAATATTTTGTTGCATTTGACGTGAAAGTCCATTCTCGTTAAAATTTTGTTTGGTACATAAATTGTTTTCTCTGTTAATGAATAGTTTTCTACTTTTGTATGTTACCTTGCCTTGTAGTGGCATGGCCAAGATAACCGCAAAATTTCAAGTCTCTATCTCAATTTTACCCCTATTGCTATGGAAACATGTTGCTCAACTTCGGAGGCCATTTTCTCCTTTTCGTGTTTCCTCACCTCGCACAATTACCAATAACAATTTCTGCACTTTCGTCAAATATGGTCATATTTACTTCATTCTTGTTTTAAATTGTAGGGAAAAGGTGATAGTTTAAAAAAATAAAGTTCTCAGTTTTGAAATGTCCTTCATATGACTGATATTGAGCGGCAGGGATATATCATGTTGTCATTAAATAATCTTGAACTTGCTGAAAAAAAAAGAGTTCTTTAAAAATTTTATTCACACCATATTCACACCAGGGCAGCATTCATCCCCCCTCCAATTAATTAGTTCAATCTATCATTTTGCGAAGCAAAAACCCTGTTCGTGCATCTCAGTTGTTAGTGACCTATACAACAATGGATTTGATGAAAACAAAAGACCCCTTCATCAACAACGCAGTAAGTGCATGCCAACAAAAATTCGTAGAATAATGATTCATGGATCGGGAACGGGAAAGGGCTCTGAAGAAGCAAAAGTAGGTCACTGGTTTCCACAGACGTATTGTGGACGTTCGGAAGCAAAAACGTTTACAGATCTAGATCTTAATCTATCATTGAATAAGTATTGCAAGTACAGTAAACAGAAAGTGTATATCAGAATAGCTAAAATGAAGGCTAAAGAGTGCAATAACTTGCTACTCTTGGCTCTGCAAGACTAAGTGGGAAGAGGTTTTGTTGACAGGAACAGCTGATTCAGAACGAGGCGATGTAAACATTGACATAAGATCTACACATATAGCAGCAAGTGGTCGTTGGAATTTTACCTCTGTAGGCTCTCGCTCCCACCATCAAAGTAACAATTTGACGGCCGCAATGAAATACACTCTAAATGTCGATTTCTCGAAAGGAGCTCCAAAAGCCTGGAACAATCCCATACTTGTGAACCTCGAGTGGAATTAAATTCGACCGTTGCCTCCTTTGCGAATTTCGCGCATTTGGATGACAAGAACTTGGTCCTCAGGCGACCCCTGTAATTCAGGTTGAATGATATAACCGTCCAAAACTGGGGAAGGAACAAGTATTCTCTCCATCTGCGACAACTTGAGGATGCATTTATTCTGTCTTTGGGCAAGAGCATCGAAAATATCTCCTCAAGGACAACACTGGGCAAAGATGCCCAGTCGCCCCCAGCTGCCATTTCTACATTTCTGACGTAAACATCACGTGACTATTGTTGTTCTATTTTGTTCTTAATTTAGCTCAAGGTTATCACGTGATACACCTCAACACAACGAGAGAGAGAGAGAGAGAGAGAGAGAGAGAGAGAGATCAAATAATTTTTTTATGTCTTTGCCATTAAAGTAGTTATTTTACAAGTAAAGAACCTTTGATGACACTGCATCTGAACAAAGAGATGACATTGTCTAAATAGCGAACCATGATTGCCCATGTATTTTTCAGATAATGTGGCAACAGCTAGAGGATTCAGACGGGTGGGCTACATAGATTAAAGACCTAGATCTACGTCTCTATTATAATGGTTTAAAAAAAATTATGTTGTGAAACTAGGCTAACTGCTTGGAAAGCTCTGGTACTGAAGCCGAAGCGAATCAAATGTATATGACATGACGAGGAGAGAACCGCCCATGATTTTTTAGACCCCCCCCCCCTTCCAAAAAAAAAAAGAATAAATTAAATAAATAAATAAATAAATAAATAAATCCCAACATAAACAAAAAATCGCCCATTTCTTAATCCGTTGGCAATTCATTTTTGATTAGGCCTGCCTTACTCAGTTTTCTCGATAGCTTGCTTAACGACCCCGCAATTCCCCCCCACTCAAAACCCATAATTTTCCTACAACAAAAAGGAAATACATGTAGTATAAGTATAAGAATTATTATAACGTCTTTAGATCTATTTGTCTCAGACAAAAAGGATCATACAATACTTTACAAGTTAGTATCCAATCTATCACAAACTTTTATTTTGGAGTATTAGGAGGGGAAAAAATGGGAACCAGTCTGTTCGACACCGCGAAACAAGAAAAGTTACCCAACAATTTTCAAGACCATTTAATAGTTACACCAGTTTAAACAGAATTGTGTCCCTTGCTCTGTTGTTCAATGACCGAGTAAAGTGCGCGCGCTTGTGTGTGTGAGTGTGTGTGTGTGTGTGTGTGTGTGTGTGTGTGTGTGTGTGTGTGTGTGTGTGTGTGTGTGTGTGTGTGTGTGCGTGCGCGCGTGTGTGTGTATGAGCACGTGCGCATTTGATTATGGTATTGATAATAAATTTATGTGATTAGCTTAATGTTAATGTGTTTGCATGTGAGTGCGAATATGAATGTTTGAGTATGTGTATGTATGTTTTTATGTTTGTGTGCGCGCATGTTTGTAGTATGTATTATACTATCTATCTATCTATCTATCTATCTATCTATCTATCTATCTATCTATCTATCTATCTATCTATCTATCTATCAGAGGCGCCTCGTGGGGCTAAAAAGTGGACCAGCACAATTAAGCTATCGCATGCTGAATATAGTCAAGGGCATAGTAAATGAGACGGTGAATAATTTTAGGGTCTTTGGGTTGGTGAGGGAGGTCATCGTGCTTTCATTTTCATTCTTTTTACTTGTCGCTTTGATTTCCAGTACTAAATTTGTTTGTTAGCTAAACCTCATTTTCGTTCATCCTGTATTGGAACTGAACATTCAAGTAATAACTTTCACTACTCCACTACACAACCATTCAACGGCACAACTCATAGAACGGTCACGTTAACCTCCCTCAGGTTAACGGTCACAGAGTCACTTAAAATAGTGGCAAGAAAATGAACCAATCACAATTCACTTGAGCATTCCGTTGGATTGCTCTGCGCATCACATAATATTGGCAAAGAATAGCGTACGGTCTATCGCGTTTTTTTGAAGACTGCCTACTGTGGGCTATGTTTCGGCACTAGATCTATTCGGCAGGTGCACATTTGAGATGTGCCGTCTTATTAATATTAATGTACCACCAAACTCGCTACGAGTGTCGTCATCGTTTGGGTTATCCCCAAGAGCGATTTATAGGTCAGGTTGCACTGTTGAATATCTTATTATGTTTACCTAAAGCGCGTGGACTTTGGCATGGCATAGTAGATGTTTTACGGCGCTATAGACACAGAAATGACTGTCATGGTGCCTGTGAGTGTGAGGACCTTGTATTGATATAATATTTGGCTAGTGTTTGTTTCTGGCTTCATTTATTTTATTATTGTGGGTGTTTTACGTAATAAAACATAAAAAAAATTAGGCGGCACTGCAGGACCGTGCTCTATGGACGAACCGCGCCTGCTATCTCTCTCTCTCTCTCTCTCT